CATTAGTCTGCACCAGGCGTCCTATTGGGAAGACCCAGTTCTCTGAGTGCATGTTCTAGAAGCTGGGCAATAGGGGCAGTACAGGATTCCTTTTGGTGTCCTGACCTCCCCGCTGCACCAAGGATTCCCTGCCCAAGCTGCTTCAGTTTGTGGTGAATGTTCTCTTGGAGACACCTAGTTTGGTTGTCCTAGGGGATTTTAACATTCACGCCAACACGACCTTGCAAGGGACCTCTCGGGACTTTGTGGAAACTATGGCCTCCATAGGACTGCCCCTGAATTAGCCTGGCCCAGCTCATAGCCTTTGACCTCTATGGATGTTGGTGATCTGACACTAATAAAAGCGAAACGAAAGAAGTGCCATAGTCAGATCACTTCCTGGTGCAACTGGACTTCTCCGTGACCCTTCCCCTCTGCAGGGGGGTGGGACCGATTTGGATGGTCCGCCCCCGCCACTTAATGGATCTAAATGGTTTCCAGAGAGTGGTAGGGGATGCTTTATCCCATGTTGATGGCCTTTTAGCTGATTCCCTGGTGGCCCACTGGAATGTGGAGTTAACCAGGGCTATTGACTGTTTGGCTCTGAAGCGCCATCTCTGATTGCATGGAGCCTGGGCAGCTCCATGGTTTTCCACCGGTCTAAGGGCAATGAAACAATCACTGAGATGGCTAGAGTGCCTGGTGGTGGATGACTCATTCTGCATCTGACCGCATATGGGCTAGAGCTCAATGTCAAGCCTTCCAAGTGGCGATAGTGACGATGAAGAAGACCACTGCCTTTATTGCATCTGCAGAAAACAGCAGCAGGAGACACTTTCAGGTGGTGCGCAATTTAGCAGAACCACCTGCTCCATCGGGGCCCAGTACGGGCCACATGATCTCCTGTAGTGATTTTGCAGTTTTTTGCAGCAGAGGAGCTATGACACTTGTGTCCAGGGCAGCTGTTTACCAACTTCATCTGGTACACAGGCTGAGACCTTGCTTGACTGCAGACTGTCTCATCAGAGGTGCTAATCCAGAATGCGGCAGCTAGACCGGTGACTGGGAGTGGCTGCCAAGACCACATAACACCAGTCTTGAAAGACCTACATTGGCTCCCAGCACGTTTCGGAGCACAATTCAAAGTATTGGTGCTGACCTTTAAAGCCCTAAATGGCCTCAGCCCAGTATACCTGAAGGAGCGTCTCCACTCCCATGCGTCTCCACTCCCATCGTTCTGCCTGGACACTGAGGTCCAGCGTTAAGGACCTTTGGCAGTTCCCTTGCTGCAAGAAGCCAAATTACAGGGAACCAGGTAGAGGGCCTTCTCGGTAGTGGCACCTGTCCTGTGGAATGCCCTCCCACCAGATGTCAAAGAGAAAAACAACTACCAGACTTATAGAAGACATCTGAAGGCAGCCCTGTTTAGGGAAGCTTTTCATGTTTGACGGACTATTGTATTTTAATATTTTGTTGGAAGCCGCCCTGAGTGGCTGGGGAAACCCACACAGATGGGTGGGGTATAAATAATAAATTATTGTGATTATTACTGAAAGTCACATATTTGTTGTCTGGTTTGAGAAATCTGTGACAAAGTTGTGAGATCTGCAGTTGCTGCCCCCAGACTGAGAAAGTTCATTGAGGAAAACATGGTGGACTGTAAATATTTAATTGGGAATGAAATCTAAAAACTTATTTGTATGTGTGATGTGTGTGTGTGTGTGTGTGTGTGTGTGTGTGTAATATAGGCTGATACTGTATTTTAAAGCTGTACAGTGGTACCTCGGGTTAAAAACTTAATTCGTTCTTGGGGTCTGTTCTTAATCTGAAACTGTTCTTAACCTGAAGCACCACTTTAGCTAATGGGGCCTCCCGCTGCCGCCGCGCCGCAATTTCTGTTCTCATCCTGAAGCAAAGTTCTTAACCCAAGGTACTATTTCTGGGTTAGCGGAGTCTGTAACCTGTAGCATCTGTAACCCGAGGTACCACTGTATTTATGTATATATTGCATATGGCCATAATGGTTCAGTCAACAATAAACATGTACAGCTTGTAGGCTTTTCAGATACAGTTACGTTCAGATAGATGCAGTGTATAGGCAAAAGTCAGTACAACAAAATAGTATTTCTCATGCCTTAACATGTTAGAAGCTGATTGTTTACTGCCGCAAAATGCTGCATTTGGCTGTATACCCCCAAACACCAGAGGAGCTATGACATTTGTGTAGCAATAATAATAATTTATACACCGCCCATCTGGCTGGGCCTCCCCAGCCACTCTGGGAGGCTCCCAACAGAATATTAAAAGCACGATAAAACATCAAACGTTAAAAACTTCCTTAAACTTGGCTCCTTCAGCTGTCTTCTAAAATTCAGATAGTTGTTTATTTCCTTGACATCTTATGGGAGGCCGTTCCACAGGGCGGGTGCTACTACCAAGAAGGCCCTCTGCCTGGTTCCCTGTATCCTCTTTTTGCAGTGAGGGAACCGGCAGGAGGCCCTCGGAGCTGGACCTCAGTGTCCAGGCTGAACGATGGGGTGGAGACGCTCCTTCAGGTATACTGGGCTGAGGCCAATTTGGGCTTTAAAGGTCAGCACCAACACTTGGAATTGTGCTTGGAAACATAGTGGGAGCCAATGTACGTCTTTCAGGACAGGTGTTATGTGGTCTCAGTGGCCAGTCCCAACTATATTTTGGTATTCCGTTACCTAGTTTTATTTTGATCTCCGGGTCAGGACCTCCTTCATGAATTTCCAAATCGTGTGTGCTATTCTAAGCCGGGAAACCAAGGTCCCTCGTGAGGTTTGTTTCCCTGTGTGCATGCACCATTTTAGAGGCACACTTGGAAAGGACTCAGTTGGATCCAAAATAGCCAATCCAAACTCAAGATTCTGTCAGGTATTCTGTCATTTGAAAATATTTAAAGCACTCATCTTTTTACAGCCTCTGGACCTCTCTTCTCAGCTGATTTCACAAAATATGTGCATCTTTAATTTTTTTCCCCTAATTCTGATTTCAACCAGGATCTTTGAAACAATTGCAGTTCCTTGCCTCTTAATGCCGCCTGCCTTTTAGAATTTATAACCATGGCAACCCCTTTGTAAGCCGCCTTGGCTCTCGGTCTGGGAGAAAGGCGGGATATAAATAAGTAGAATACTAAAGGTGAGGATAAAGCTGCTCTTGAGCTCGGATCTTGCTTGGAGCACCTGCGGAGGAGGGATTCTGTCCTGGGGGCGCCGCTGGCCTGATCCTGCAGCCGGGTTTCCCCTTCCTGCTTCAGAGCCGGAGACCAGCCGGGCGCTCCTCCTCCCTCTCTGCCCGGAGCAGCCAAGAGGCTCCTACCCCGCGGCTCCGCAAGGGTTAACTGCGGCGATAGAGCTTCTATTCCTAGAGCGGAAGGGAAGACTGGCGGAGAGAGGAGGCGCTTCCGCTTCCTGTTCCGCTTCCCCGGGTTGATGCTGTCCTCCCTGGAGGCGGGTAACTGGGGGGAGTGGGCCGAGCCAGGGGCGGAATTGGGGGGCGAGAGGGAGGGAGCCGCGTCCCTCCTGGGGGGAACTAAGGGGCGACGGGGAAAGGTCGTCCTCTCCTGGGAGGGGAAGCGGGAGGCCGAAGCGACGCTCCTCGCTGGCCTTGACCGGCCTCTGGCCTCATCCTGCGGCCTTTTCTCCCGCTCCTCTGTCCAGAGAACGCAGAAGGAGCGCCCAGCAAAGGCCGCAGGGCAGGGAATGGGGAGGAATGGCAGGGAGTAAACAGGGAGTCAGGAGAGTCTCCTGCCAGCCAGGGAGGAGCAGGAGGAATAATTATTATTTTATTCCTTCATACCCCGCCCATTTAGCTGCGTTTCCCCAGCCACTCTGGGCAGCTCCCGACAGAATATTAAAAGCACTATAAAAGATCAAACATTCAAAGCTTTCCTGAACGGGGCTGCCCTCAGATGTCTTCTTAAAGTCAGATAGTTGTTTATTTCCTTGACATCTGATGGGAGGGCTTTCCACAGGGCGGGTGCTACTACCAAGAAGGCCCTCTGCCTGGTTCCCTGTAACCTCGCAGGGAGGGAACCGCCAGAAGGCCCTTGGAGCTGGGCCTCAGTGTCAGGACTGAGCGATGGGGTGGAGATGCTCCTTCAGGTATACAGGCTGAGGCCATTTAGGGCTTTAAAGGTCAGCACCAACACTTTGAATTTTGCTCGGAAACATACTGGGAGCTAATGTAGGTCTTTCAGGTCTTAGTTGGCTGCTGCTCCCAGTTACGAGTCTAGCTGCTGCATTCTGGATTTGATCTAGTTTCCGGGTCACCTTCAAAGGTAGCGCCCCATAGAGTGCAGAAGGAGCTGCAGACTCTATGGCAGGAGAGGATCCTCCTCAGTTAAGACTCTTTAGCATTTTATTGTATCGAAGGCCATAGGTCCACTGCAAATTAAACCATGAGAAAAAACTTTTCCTCTGCAAAATGTACGTACTAAACATATATCATTAAAAAAGGTGGGCCCCTGGGGATATAACTGGCCATCTGCAGCTGTAGTCATTTTATCTTATGTTCAAGATTTCTAAACAGCTAATTCAAAAGGTCTCTCAAGTGGCACAGTGATCCAATGGGAGCTAGAACACAACTAAAACCCACAAACCAATTTAGAAACCAGTATGCATAAGCCATCATTGAAAAAATTATCCCTCTCCACTTCCCATTTTGCCTCTTGGGCAGCATGTATGGTCTTTACACACTTGAGGAAGGAGGGAGTATGGGGTGGGACAAAACACTCATTTCCCCCAGTCTTAAATTGAGTTATCCAGATTTTCACATCTTATTAAAAAAAAACAAATAAACACTGAAGGTAAAATCTCCAGTTGCCCCATCTATCATCGGAGGGGGAGCTGAGGGGAGATGGTTTCCACACCTTGCCTTGGAGTGTCTATAAGGAAGGGAATTGTTCTGTCCTTCCAGGGATCAGTGAGCTTTGACAAGTGTCCTTGCATTTCGCTGACGACAACTGGGCCCTACGGAGAGCTCTGTACAAGGACGTCATGGTGGAGGTTCATGAGATGGTGGCCTCTCAGGGTAAGGATCCTTTTCGCCTTCGTTAATAGTTATAATAGGTATGGGTTCCTCGGAGTGCCTCCCTTCAGCTCCGCTAAAGGAGGTCACCGTGTTTGTTTTTCTCTTAAGTTAAAGGCCAGAAGCCTGGCTGAGAATAAATATTATTGCTTCTCTGCTACAATTAGCGAGTGATGGCTTCTGGGTTGCCTCCCTGGCGGACAGCATTCTTTAGGTGCGGAGCCAGCACTGAAAGACGCATTCCGTATTGCGTCTCTTTGCACCTCAGTTGGAGAGGGCACTGTGAGAAGGACCTCTGATGATGAGTGCAGGCTCTAGGTGGATTCATGAGAAGCAGTCCTTGAGGTAAAGGTAAAGGGACCCCTGGCCATTAGGTCCAGTCGTGACCGACTCTGGGGTTGCGGCACTCATCTCGCTTTATTGGCTGAGGGAGCCGGTGTACAGCTTCCGGGTCATGTGGCCAGCATGACTAAGCCGCTTCTGGCGAACCAGAGCAGTGCATGGAAATGCCGTTTACCTTCCCGCCGGAGCGGTACCTATTTATCTACTTGCACTTTTGACGTGCTTTCGAACTGCTAGGTTGGCAGGAGCTGGGACCGAGCAACGGGAGCTCACCCCATCGCAGGGATTCGAACCGCCAACCTTCTGATCGGCAAGTCCTAGGCTCTGTGGTTTAACCCACAGCGCCACCTGCATCCCTTCAGTCCTTGAGTTACATAGGTCAAAATCAGCACCTTGAATTGAAGACAGCAACCCAGAAAAGGTTTTATGTGCTCAGAGCATCTTGCACCGGTCATCACTCTGTAGTTTCTGAACGGTCTTCTAAAGCAGCCTGAAGTATAATGCATTGTGGCAATCTAGCGTGGAGAATGGTGGAAAAAGCATACTAAAAATCTTCTGTGTGGGGGATCCTAATTTGTAGAATACTTGAGTATCTTGTTATTGTTATTGGTTTCTATTGATGTATTGGTTTGTTTGTTGCATATATATAATATTCTGTTTCTTAATATTTGAGGTTTGATTGCATTTTTATATATGCTGCAAGCCACCCAGAGTGGCTTGGGAAACCCAGCCAGACGGTTGGAATATAAATAAAATAAATGCTACTATTGTTATTATTCATTTTGGTTTTTCAACAAGCTCTGCAGATCTAGACTTTTCAAGCTTCTCTGAGTTGCAGTGCTGTATTATCAATGCTCAGGGATGGCCTCACTTCTGCCCCACAATGGGGGCTCAAAATCCATGAGGCGCATACCCCTGCAAGTTGGGTGGGGTGGTCCCCCCTCACCCCTCCAGACCTCCAAGGGGTGCAGACGCCTCTCCCCATTCACTGGCAAAGAGCCTTTTCAGATCCTGACAAAGCTGAATGGTGGAATGTCTGCCCTCTTGTGGACATGCCCTTGTTGGGGGAAGATCCTTTCTGGACTTGGCTGGAGGGGAGAGGACTCACAAAGCTTTGCTGCCCATCCCACTTCGCCCCTGGAGGCCGGGGAGACTAGCAGCAAAGCTGAGCAGTGACGCCCCTTTGGGGGTGACACCTGAGGCAGCCGCCTCACACAGGCCCATAGGCAGGCAGGCTCTGTTGATGTTATTGCCTGCTGGTTTAAATTGTGTTATTTGTGGCTTGGTTAATCTTAGGGACTGCTCACCAGAACTTTTCTGATACAAATAACCATTGATTAAATGGTGATATTTTTATTAAAACCAGGTATCACAGCATTTGTTTTTATGTAAAACGCCTTTAACATAGTGCCAGGCCTTGAGTTTTGATAAGGAAGCAGCTGTATCAACCTTTATTTTAAATTTTTTATTCCATCAGGAGATGTTTGGGGGGTCCTGGATGAGGAGGAGCCATCAGAAGTCTGGCCAGAAAGAGGTGAGGAGCAAGAGAAGGAAAGGAAGTTGGGGGTTCAAGATGGAGCCAACAAACAAGAGGGAGAGAAACAGTGAAGCCAAGGGATGAACACAGTGTTTCCCAAGAAGATGAAAATCAGATTAACAGGGTGGAGAAAAAACATGAATGTACTGTGTGCGGAAAGAGATTCTGTAGTCGCTCAGCCCTTGCTAGACATCAAAGCGTACACTCAGGTGAAAAACCTTATGAATGCATGGAGTGTGGAAAGAGATTCAGTTACAGTGGCTACCTTACTTTGCATCAAAGAACTCATACAGGGGAGAAACCTTATAAATGCTGGGAATGTGGAAAGAGTTTCTTTGACAGTAGTACCCTTACTAAACATCAAAGAACTCACACAGGGGAGAAACCTTATGAATGCATGGAGTGTGGAAAGAGCTTCAGTCGGAGTTCCTCCCTTAATGTGCATCAGATAACTCATACAGGGGATAAACCTTATGAATGCATGGAGTGTGGAAAGAGCTTCAGAAACAGTGGCTACCTTAATGTGCATCAAAGAACTCATACAGGGGAGAAACCTTATGAATGCATGGAGTGTGGAAAGACTTTCAGTCAGAATTTCTCCCTTACTTTGCATCAAAGAACTCATACAGGGGAGAAACCTTATGAATGCATGGAGTGTGGAAAGAGCTTCAGAAGCAGTAGCTACCTTAATGTGCATCGAAGAACTCATACAGGGGAGAAACCTTATAAAGGCATGGAGTGTGGAAAGAGCTTCAGTTGCAGCAAGTCTGTTAAAATGCATCATATAATTCACACACAGGAAAACCATATAAATCCATATGAATGCATGGAGTGTGGAAAGAGCTTCAGTGCCAGAAGCATGCTTATTAGACATCAAATAACTCATACAGGGGAGAAACCTTATGAATGCATGGAGTGTGGAAAGAGATTCAGAAACAGTGGCCACCTTAATGTGCATCAGATAACTCATACAGGGGAGAAGCCTTATGAATGCATGGAGTGTGGAAAGAGCTTCAGAAGCAGAAGCCACCTTAATGTGCATCAAAGAACTCATACCGGGGAGAAACCTTATAAATGCTGGGAATGTGGAAAGAGTTTCTTTGACAGTAGTACCCTTACTAAACATCAAAGAACTCACACAGGGGAAAAACCATATAAATGCATGGAGTGTGGAAAGAGCTTCAATCAGAGTGCCTCCCTTAATGTGCATCGACGACTTCATACAGGTGAAAAACCTTATAAATGCATGGAGTGTGGAAAGAGCTTCAGTGACTATAGTACCTTTACTAAACATCAAAGAACTCACAGGGGAGAAACTTTATAAATGCATGAAGTGTGGAAAGACTTTCAGTTGGAGTTCCTGCTTTAATGAGCATCAAAGAACTCATACAGGGGAGAAACCTTATGAATGCATGGAGTGTGGAAAGAGCTTCAGAAACAGTGGCTACCTTAATGTGCATCAAAGAACTCATACAGGGGAGAAACCTTATGAATGCATGGAGTGTGGAAAGAGCTTCAGATCCAGTGGCTACCTTACTTTGCATCAAAGAACTCATACAGGGGAGAAACCTTATAAATGCTGGGAATGTGGAAAGAGTTTCTTTGACAGTAGTACCCTTACTAAACATCAAAGAACTCACACAGGGGAAAAACCATATACATGCATGGAGTGTGGAAAGAGCTTCAATCAGAGTGCCTCCCTTAATGTGCATCGACGAATTCATACAGGTGAAAAACCTTATAAATGCATGGAGTGTGGAAAGAGCTTCAGTGACTATAGTACCTTTACTAAACATCAAAGAACTCACAGGGGAGAAACTTTATAAATGCATGGAGTGTGGAAAGAGCTTCAGTCACAGCAGGTCCCTTAACATGCACCATAGAATTCACACAGGGGAGAAGCCATATAAGTGCATTGAGTGTGGTGAAAGCTTCAAGTGCAATTCTCACCTTAAATGACATCAGACACCTCTTACAGGGAACAAACCGCATGAACGCCTGGAGTGTGGAAAGAGGTTTGGTCTCGGTAGCCTCCTTACTTTGCATCAAAGAACTCATACAGGGGGCAAACCGTATAAATGCTTGGAATGTAGAAAAAGCTTCAGTGACTCTAGCACCCTTCATGCACATAGGAGAATTCACACAGGGGACAAACCATATAAACGTTTGCAGTGCGGAAAGAGCTACCGCCGCAGTAATCACCTTTCTCGACACCGGATAACTCATTCAGGAGACTAACCCTATGAAAGCTGATGTGTGGAAAGAGCTTCCGTTACAGTGGTAAAAGCTGTTCTCCAATTGGAGCACTCGCAGACCAGTGTTTCCTAGTAGGGAGTTAGTAGCTCACTCCTTGACGATGTGCAATTCTTCACCTTCATCCATGCACGAGGGCTTTTCCAGTACAGCAAGGAAGCAGCTTAAGGACCAAATACTTTACTGTCGCAAAAGTTTCAGGCTCAGTAAAACAGTTTTGGGAGTATGTATATCCATCTGTCTAGTGATAAGTTGCCAGTAGCCAGGTGCAAACTGTGTCTGGCGCCTGGCTATTTTGAACACTGCCCACATTGGTATTTAATTAAAATAAGACACGAACTTGAGAATTTCCCCTCTGATTTACCAATCTGTTCATTTAGGCAAGCATTTCTGACTTTTGTTTTCAGACTATGTGCTCAGGAATATTTAGAGGGACGCTATAAAAAATTATCCGGCAGAACAGCATCTTTGTTATGCCTTAACTAAGTCAGTAAGACCTCTACCAATATGCTGCTTCTCTATTCTGCACCAAGGTTATCCTTGATATTGTTTGTAAGATACCTGACTGCGGAGTGATCCAACTGAAAGCACCATATTTGTTGTCTTGTTTGAAAATCTTGGTGACAAAGTTGCTGCCCAAAAAATTGACCAATGTTCATTGAGGAGAACATGGTGGACTGTAAAATTAATTGGGAATGACATCTAAAAACTTATTTGTGTGTGTGTGTAATATAGACTGATACTGTATTTTAATGCCATATTTATGTTATATGTCATATGAACCATAATGGTCCAAACAATAAACATATACAGCTTGTAGGCTTTTGCAGAAACAGTTACGTACAGATAGATGGACTGTATAGGCAAAAGTGAGTAACAAGAAAATAGTATTTCTCATGCCTTAACATGTTAGAAGCTGATTGGTTACTGCCACAGAATCCTATAGTAGTAGTAGTACAAATAATAATAATAATAATAATAAATTTATTACTTATACCCTCATCTGGCTGGGCCTCCCAAGACACTCTGTGCGGCTTCCAACAGAATATTAAAAACACAATAAAACATCAATTTATTATTTCCTTGACATCTGAAGGGAGGATGTTCCATAGGACGGGCGCCACTCTGCAGGGTTCCCTGTATCCTCACTTTTTGCAGTGAGGGAACCACCAGAAGGCCTTTGGAGAAGGACCGATGGGGGTGGAGACGCTCCTTCAGGTATACTGGGCTGAGGCCATTTAGGGCTTTAAAGGTCAGCACTAACACTTGGAATTGTGGGAGTCAATGTAGGTCTTTCAGGACCGGTGTTATATGGTCTCAGCGGTCAGTCCCAGCTATATTTTTGTTCGTGGGAAAAAAATCCTGTGAGAAGCGGATAATAAATCCTCGGTGTGCACAATAAATATTTTTTGATTCCGTTACCTGGTTTTATTTGGATCTCTGGTCAGGAACTCCTTCATGAATTTCCACATCATGTGTGCTGCTCTAAGCCCGGAAACACACCATTTTGGAAAACGAATTTGTGAAATACATGTTTTGTGATGTACCAGATTTGCCCCAAAGGGCAGTCAACTTTAAAAAAAAATATTTGTGTGGCCTGCAAGTCATGCAAGGATTTGGAATCACTCGCATAAAAGGCCGCTGGTCCCTTCCTTCTCCTTCCCCACTTTCTGTACATGCAATAGCAAATTTTATTTTTATTTTTAATGCAGCAGTTTTGTGCAGGAGAGTTTCTCCCCACAAAGATGTGTTTTTTATTACTACAGACATTTGTATATTTCATTTATTACTGCCCTTTATTCAGCCAAAGTCCTGGTTGAAGAAGAATGTTTTCGCTCAGGACCTAAAGGCGCATAATGAAGGTGCCAGCCAAAGCTCCCTGTGGAGAGCTTTCCACAAACGGAGCCACTGTAGAAAAGTCCCAGTCTTGTTTTGTCACCCTCCACACATGGAGGAGGCACATTAAGAAGTGTCTTAGAGGGTGATATCCAGCCTGGGGCAATATTTGAGGTATTGTGATCCTGAGCTGTTAAGGCTTTATAGGTCCAAACCAGCACTTTCAATTGGGCTCAGAAACTAATTGGTTTCCAGTGTGGTTGGACCAGGATCAGTGTAATATGCTCACACAGTCTTGCTCCGGTGAGCAACCTGACTGCCAGATTCTGCAGCAGCCGAAGTTTCTGAAGCACCGGCAGGCGCCACCATCATGCCTTCAACAACAATGGGGAATAAGCAGGAAACTCGCTAAGGTAAAGGGACCCCTGACCATTAGGTCCAGTCGTGGCCGACTCTGGGGTTGCGGCGCTCATCTCGCTTTATTGGCCGAAGGAGGTGGCGTACAGCTTCCGGGTCATGTGGCCAGCATGACTAAGCCGCTTCTGGCGAACCAGAGCAGCGCACGGAAACGCCGTTTACCTTCCCGCTGGAGTGGTACCTATTTATCTACTTGCACTTTGACGTGCTTTCAAACTGCTAGGTTGGCAGGAGCAGGGACCGAGCAACGGGAGCTCACCCCATCGTGGGGATTCGAACCGCCGACCTTCTAATCGGCAAGTCCTAGGCTCTGTGGTTTAGACCACAGCGCCACCAGTGTCCCTTTTTGGGAAACCCTCTAGGAAGAGACAGTAGAACAATAGAAATACTGGAATTAAAGGATTTGTTCAACTCAAAGCTCCCCTCCCTTCTCCATTCGAATGCATTGGCTAAAATTAGTACAAAGACCCTAGGTGGTTAGATAGCTCCCCGAGCTCCAAGAAGGAACTGGCCACACACTGTCAAGGAACCCAGACACCCCTCGACTTAAGGACAGGTGTGACGGACAGCACAGCCAGGCCAGAGTCTGCTGGTGCAGTCTCCCTGAAATTCTGTCAGAGTGAAGGAGCCTGTCACCGATTGGCTACAAAGTCACAGAAGGGGGAGGAGCAGAACTTTGAGAGGGAGGATAAAAAGAGGGAGAGAGAGAGAGATAGGGCTACGGGTCAGGTGAAGAGATGGGGCTTGATTTGAGAAGATAGGGATGGATTTGAGAAGAGAGAGGGCTTATGGTCAGGTTAAGACAGGTGTCCTCAAACTACGGCCCACAGGCCGGATCAGGCCCGCCAAGGTCCTAAATTCAGTTCTCGCTGCTGCTGCTGCTGCTGGCTGTCTGGCTTCTGGTGCTGTGGGGGTCCCAGGCCAGACGTGGAGACGGCGGAGCAGGAAATGGCGGTGCACCGGCCCCCTGTTTAAAAAGTTTAAGGACCCCAGGCTTAGAGAGTGGGTAACTGAGGAAAAGTGACCCTCAAGAACCAAGGTATTAATGGGTGAAGGAAGCTGTATGGTGTTAAAAGTATTTTGTGGCAGAGAGGAGGCAGAGATGAGTCAGGCTGGTGACTAAGTTAGGGGGTCTCCCCCTCCTGCTCTGACCAGCTCCCCTCCCCCTTGATCACTCTGAATCTGCAAAGGGATGAAGAGGGCGGAGCACAGGGAGATAAGGCGAAGAAATCTCAGGTTGCTTGGGAGAGGAGCAGACTTAGGGAACCTGTGGGAGATAGCTGAATGCTTCTCCATGAAAGAAGCAGCAAATCCTGGCTTATAGAAAGCCAGCATGTCAGGGAACAGATGAGGACAGAACCTTTTCCCCTGGAATTTGTGGCAACTGCCAAGAGGGCAAATCCTATGCTAGGGGTTATTAAGAACCTAAGAATGACCCTGTTGGATCAGCCAGGTGCAGAATGGCTGGGACAACCCAGTCAGATGGATGGGGTACAATAAATAAATGATTAGTATTAGTATTTGCTTCCACTGCCTGAACATATCAGACGACACAGCGATTCTTCAAACAGCTCTTCTTTATTCAGATGCCAGAACAGAACTAACTGAGGAGCTCAGTCAGCCTGCTTATATAGA